GGGGGGGGGGGGGAGGAGAGAGAGAAACTGCACTCCGAAGAGCAGTTAATTTCCGTATTCTAATTACAGCGTTTTAAGTTCACATAGCCACGAACCTCCTACATTACATGCTTATCTTATGAAATAACGTCAGTACATACAGCAGGAGCGGATTCAGGCCGTCTTCTGGGTCTTCCGGAAGACGGTCAGATTTTCAAGTTTACATTGAAAGTTGTCTAATTTTTACGTCGGAAGACGGTCAAAAATGAAGAATGGATCAACAAAGATAATTTGGAAGACTGTCAGAAAATATCTCTGAATCCGCCCCTGTACAGTACACCTCAGCTGATGCCGTCTGGAAAGGATTTACTTATTTATACAGTAACATGATAGTTATTGTTCATTATTTGTCACCTATCTTGTTCTCTTGCCGCCAGCTTTTTTTTTAATCAAAACTGCTATCGATTCTTGTGACCAATTGAGGATTGCTATAGATGTAGAGTACGGGTTCGGCATCATTAGATTGCAGGCAGTAAATCGGATTGTGAGGTCAATGTATCTTTGCCTGCAGAATGCAAGTGCAAATTGGGTATATGCATCAAATCAAAGGCTTATTACGGTTCCGTTCAGATAATGTTTATTGACAAAAGAGAGGGGGAGGGAGAAACTAGACACAAGAAACCGTAACGAAGAGTGCTTTCAATATAAATATGATATCTTCAAAACTTTAAAACTGCATAATCAGTTTTAAAGTGAAAATCAACATTCCAGCATATCTCAGAGTTGGAAAAGACACGATAAGATGTAGTGTCTGAATAGACCGAAAGCGGGTAAACGATGATGTTGGCAAAAAGCATCGGAGGAGGGAGGCAAACGAGCTATACAATTTGTTTAAGCAGGTGTTCCGACTTGTGGGAATATCGAGTTGTCAAAGGTTACAGTTTAAGTTACAGGGTTATTTTGACTACCGCTGGAATAAAAATGTCTTAATCAAACTGGAAATCTAGTCGTACTTGTATCTGTAACTGTTTCATGACTTTTTCTAAAAACAACAGCCGGATTTTTATAAGGTGATGAAGTGGTCATAGTAAAATGCTTTCTTTATTTTGTCGTGCGCCCTCAAAGATTCAACCGTTTAATCGGTTCCAGTTTTCTGGGAATTTTCCTTTTTGAAGTGTACTGTTACGTTGGAAAATGTTTTGATTTCCATGTCCATGTCACCAACAGCTAGTCGTAGCCTTACTGAACGGAATGAAGGGAAAAGGAAGAAAATATTCAGAAATTAGTTTTATTGGTACAGTTTTTGCCGACACAAACAGGTGTACATGTAATCGTCCAACTTTGGGACATATGCACATACCTCAGTGATGCATTACACGAAACGTTGGGGAATTAAAAAGAAAACTTTCCTGCCTGGAGCGCTTCATATCTTATTAACCAGTTTCATCTTTGAAGTTGCGTATTACTTCTCTATTAACAGGAATGCGACCTCATAAACAAATACTATATAGAAATATTATGCAACACTGGCAGTGTTAATACACATTAGATAGGCCTACACGAAGTAATCTGGTTGATGAACCCCACATTCAATCAATCTTTATTGGACATAGCTCATTTGTTGACAAAGAATACGACCTAAGAATTATATAGTGCAATAATTTCATATGTTTTAACATAAAAATCTCTAAATAATAATATATATATATGTAAATGTAAACAAGTTCACTTGACATACAAAATTAGATAAGATTCCTAAAGGTGTGCATTTAACAGTATAAAGAGTAATAGAAATGCATTATTGCTCGAAATACCCATACTTTACGAAACAACACCAAATTCTTACAACCAAAAGTGAAGACAGAACGTTTTAACAGTTCCTTTATTAATTATTGGCTTTTTAATTTGTAGTAATTTATGAACGTCTTTTTTTTAATCTGTAGTATTTTAGGAACAGTTTGTTGTTTTATAATTTAAAGTTTATTGTCAATTTTCTTTTAAACATACTTCGTACAACTTCAACCTTAGGGTTGCAATTTTACCTAATAAATGATTATATTATTCCTCTAAGTATAGGTAAATGATGATTGGTTCCAGGTTTCGGTATTGCCAGTTTGATCTTGATTTCTTATATATCCCACATCAGCAACACTATAAAGTATACCCGTGGAAAGGGTATACTTTATAGTGGTTTAGTAAGACAACTCTTTCTTCGCTGCACACGGCTATATACTGATAATATATTGATAATGTACCGGAGAAATAATTTCTCCGTGTGGCAAACTGTATTACCAATGGCTTTCTAAAGCAAGGACTAATGACTAGGTGCGATCCGCTATATCATCAACACTATGGTAAATATATAGAAATCCATAACATTGACGTATTTAATTAAACTAAAACTAATACAAAAAGGTGTCATACGCATATAATTTCTCGGTTTGTGCATAGGCTTATGCTTAAAATTATTAAAAGATGAATGGAAATATTAATGAAATGTCAAAGGATTGTATCTCAAAATACCGCAGCTTTTTGGCCTTATCTTTGAGTGCTTTACCTCTTGATCAGGTCACTAAATTGATGTACCTACACTATTGAAAAAGTTCAAAGGGGTTGACCTCTCAAAATGAAAGTACGATGAGTTTGATAACCCAGGCATTTTGTCTCTTTCACTATTCTCAAACAGTACGCCAAATTATATGTAAACTTAAAGGAAACTGCACATCTTGGTTTTCTTCAGGTGTTCAGTTTGCCATGCGATGTGCGTACGGTGATGCACTGTGTGGAGGCATGCAGTGGCCTTAATGCTAAATCGTGCGAAATTCACTGTCTCCTAATATCCGTAGCCTGTGCGATTCAGTTGTGCTAAAACATCTATCAAAAAATTTTAAATCGTAAGCCCCGTAGACCCAACCATTATCGTAAAGATGCTGATAATTAAGAGTAATTCACTTGCATCAATTTCAAGTCGTACGTTTCCCTCTGACCACATTGGTGCCTAAATCGTAGGGTGCCCGATAACGTATCGATCTGCAACTGCACCGAGACTGAAAGTGCTCCGTGCGATCGCTTTTCACACAACAACTGATTTTCCCTACGCGACCTTAAGGCCATGTAGGAGAAATGGCATTGTACCCGCACGTCATGTAGACACTTCCGATGATAAAAAAAAAAGAAAAAAAAACATCGAACGGAAAATCGTATACAGTTTCACCGCGAGGCACCCGTGCCATATGTAATCTAGGCTTTAGTGTACAGCGAAAGGCTTAGTGTACTGTGTGTGACAGAGAATATCACGGTCATCAATAAACTCAACGTACTTTCGTCTTGAGAGTCCAACCCCCTTGCTGTTTCCGGAAAAACATTCACCAAATTGATCTTAGTGCGAAGTAATCCAATTATCTTAAGGATATAGTATTCCAGTAATGGACATTAAAACGAGTATGTTAACGTTGTTAGGAGATATAATAATTGAATTGTTTGTAGGAATGCCATATACTGTTTTATCATTTTATTAATGTGCATCTGTATAACACGTAAACGCCAAAAAGTCAGAATTGCATTAAATACACGAACACTGGACACGGATAACATTCCGTTCCTTGATTTCGACATTGTTGCTATCTTTCTCTATTTTTTTTTTTTTATAATTCCTTTTCCATATTTAATTTTCTAATGTTTTTAAACATCAATTCTTTTTATTTCTATCCATTTGTTTTCATTTTTCTTTTTATTTATTTATTTATTTATTTATTTATTTATTTATTTATTTATTTTGAAAACCCCTGACGCATGGCTGCAGGCTATTCGTCTCTTATTTGTCCTAAACGCGTTTCTTGACATGTGCGCTTTCCTTCCAATCGAGAAGTCTTGTAACAGCTACAATTATCAAGAAAGATCAGCGGAAATTAAGAGCCCAGACTTAAGCACCGTTATGTGAGAAGTATATCACCTGATAAAAAAGATAATTACCTTACATGGGAAACCCGTGGAAATAATCTACCCACCTCTTAACAGGGTTAGAAAATCGACAGATTCCACACAGTTTATCTTTGCTGGTTTCAGTTAAACAGAAGTCTTGTCATTTGGTGCCATTTTGCCTGCCATATGTTAAAAGACTGAATATTGGCTTAGGTCCGTATAATATAATATAATATAATATAATATAATATAATATAATATAATATAATATAATATAATATAATATTTGCTTTCTATTTTCCATAGCCATCATGAAGGAAGTCCAAAAATTACACTATTGAAATTCAAGTTTTAGGGGTCTCTAGTTCATAAATAATCCAACGGGACTGGATATGTCTACCGTGTTGATTAGGAATAATAGTACTATATGTATACATTGGTGAATTAAGGCCAGGAGTTCAAAATTCAAAAAAATATGTCTAATAGTCATTGCGTGACTTTAAACTATCATAATAATTGTGAAAAGTTCTAAGCTGCTCACAGTTTACCATGAAACTTTGATAATACGGCAAGAAATGAAACACTAAAATTAATAAGCACGGCGTGTTCTGGAAATATACATCAAGCTTCCTTCGTGCCGTTTAACTAACATGACCTGGTCTAAAAATCGTTTCATTAAAGTGCACCTGTACAACACGTGAACGCCAAAAGGTCAACGGTCTTACAAAATTTGAATTGTTTCTAAAGATACAACACTTAATTTGCCATTTCGAACCTTCACCAAAGGGCTTGATCAAGTGGCTAACCCGTAGAGCCGAGGTCGGGTATTAAGATGTCAGCCATTTTTCACCATCGAAACAGTGAAAAAACAAATAGACTGTAGCACTTTTTAATTTTTGTGCTTCAAGACTTGTGATGAAAAGAAGCACGAGAACTTTTTTACTTATATAATAACATCATAGTTGTGGTTCATAATATGTCACCTATGTTGTTCTTTTGCCGCGAGATTTTTTCCATCAAAACAAGTAGTTGTACTGCTTCTGGATTAATTCTTCTGGCTTATCGGTTCTTCCGGCTAATTGAGGATTATTATAAATCTAAAGAACTGGTTCGACATCATTAAATTGCAAGCAATAAGTCGGATTATAAAGTAACTGTTTACCCAAAAATATAAAAGTAGAACTCACCATGCACCATGAGAAATGTATGAAATACATAATGATATAGCAGCATGTTCACCTTCAATGAACCCTGACATAGTTACTCGCTTTTCATTCAATCTTACACTTTTTCAGATCATTTTCACACTACAGCTGTAGCGTGTATCTCTCGCACAAGTGTTAAGAATTTACATGTGTGTTTCCGTTGAATAAATGTATAAGTTGCTGCTGAAATTCATAGATTTCGTTAGGATACATGTATATGGTCACGTCTAACCCATGTCAGAATATGTGTCACAACTTTAAACAAAAATTGTTTGAACGAGGACACGAAGGGTAATTATATGGTGCATAATGTGCAAAAAGGTAGGTTTGTCAAAGTGGTGTTATTGCATTTTTTAACATAAAAGGGTTCGGTTTCAGTAAATTAAAGCCTGAAATAAGGAGGGGAGATCGCTATCAAACGTTTTCCCTTAGCAAAATGAAAAGTTTGCAGCAATATAACTGCCAACTAAAAGTTTGCAAGAAAAATTTGTATTGGTTATTACTAAATTTTGACCAAAAACGATGAACACGAGAGTGCAATACACGGACGTTACGCATGAATGGTGTTTTAGATTCTACGCAATTTTCTAGGTAACTGAAATATCTTTTAGTATATGGAGAGTCCTTAAATTAGTCTTACTTTGGACGATATGTAGTATTGTGACAATGTTTGTTACATTACATTGTAACACTTTAGGACTGGAACAATTCCTCCTCCAACCGTCCCCTTTCATTGGTGGTCAGCGTCTAACCAGGGAGGCTCCTACAGTACAGTCTGGTGAGTGGTCACTGAGGAAACCCTCACAATAACTGGCCCATTCTCCAGGTCCGAGGAAGCTGTGGACAGCCGCGAAGACAACGAAATTCTGGAGGATCTTGAACCGCCCTGGACAGTGGCCACTGAAGAAAGCCTTGAGGTTCTGCGACTGGATCCTTGGTCGGAGGACTCCCGCACGCTGCCCATGGGAATATCTTTGCCGCATCCGAACAGCCGCTTAAGACCTCGACGAAATTTGGACCCCATTAGACCGTAAACAAAAAAATTGACGCACGCATTGAAGCCAGTTAAGAAGTACACTACAGGCCAGACCCACTGGGCCATTATGGTGAACTCATGCGGCAGGCGGTTTAGGAACACGATGAGAAACTGCAGCAAGACGTGAGGGAACACTGCCAAGAAGAACAGGGTCAAAAGCGTGATGACGATACTCGTTACTTCACGCTGGTTACCTTTCACGGCGCTAGAGACGCGGTTTCGCATTTTATCGGCTCTACGCACTGCCACGACGATCTTCACGTTCAGCGTGATCATAGCCGAGAGTGGTATCGCATAGCTCACAATGGCGTGCAGTACGAACCGGTAAATGATTTTATAGATGCCCCATTCTTTGACCTTAACATTAAAGCAGAAATCTTGCGATCCCGGAGAGCATGGCAGATATCCGACGTACTCCGTGTCGAAGAATTTGGGTGAATTGTAAAGGAAGCAAAACACCAGCATCGCTACGACGCGGACCCGCCATCTAGCGATGGTTCGCTGTTCGGCCGTCTCGGTGGGTTTGCAGATGGCCATATAGCGATCCAAAGCGACGAAGGTTAGCATGTAGGTAGATGATAACCGTGCCGTGGCCACAAACGGCCATATGTGTACTATATGGTTCTGAAACACGACAAAGAACCACTCAAGCCAGCCCGAATATGGATGGAACGACACGGAACAATATGCCACCATACCAAATATGTTGAACATTATGTCCGTGACCGCTACCATGGAGAGCAGAAACGGAGCCGCTGAGTCGGTGTTGTCTTTGGATAATACTGCAATTGCAAGCGGGTTACATATCAGCCCTATCACGCAACAGGTGCCCGATGCAAATCCTCCCATTATTACGGTGTACAGATTGTATGCGGTTGGGTAGAAAGTCGAATTATTGGGAAGCGTGTCTGTGCAATTACCAGCCGGCCAACCCATTGTTGATACATTGTCAAACTCCATTTCTGGCAGCATTGATGAAGAGTTCAACGACATCCCAAGAAGTAAGGAGAAATTACAGCCCGACGTCATATCCATGATTAGATACAGGTGTGATGTTAAAATTATATACTGCAGTCTTCCTTACCAAAAACTGATGGCGTTGGCGCTTTGGTGTTTTTTGGTCATTTACAGTACCTCATTTAAGTTTACTTAACAGGCAAGTGCGCAGATTGATTTTCTTTCTTTTTTTTTTTTTTTTTTNGTACAGATTGTATGCGGTTGGGTAGAAAGTCGAATTATTGGGAAGCGTGTCTGTGCAATTACCAGCCGGCCAATCCATTGTTGATACATTGTCAAACTCCATTTCTGGCAGCATTGATGAAGAGTTCAACGACATCCCAAGAAGTAAGGAGAAATTACAGCCCGACGTCATATCCATGATTAGATACAGGTGTGATGTTAAAATTATATACTGCAGTCTTCCTTACCAAAAACTGATGGCGTTGGCGCTTTGGTGTTTTTTGGTCATTTACAGTACCTCATTTAAGTTTACTTAACAGGCAAGTGCGCAGATTGATTTTCTTTCTTTCTTTTTTTTTTTTTTTTTTGTTATAATTGTTCAATTTCATAGTTATCTCCGCAGAGAAAGCGAATGTCCATATTTAGAGAAAGACTACGTCTCTGGTTACGGTACCTTTATATTAGTTTTGGCTCCCTCTTTTGGATGACCCACATTTCCGTCTATATACTGGTGACATGAAGATTTTCTTGCATCAACTTTCAGGAAAGTTCAATGATTCTTTAAGAAGCCTCTTGAGCTGGCACGGTCAAGATACCTGCTGCACTTAGTCCAGATCGCATTGAATGGTCATAATGCTTGGTATTGTTTTTCTATTGAGCACGGGCGACAACTGCTTCTGGTACTGACCACGTTAATTTGATGTCCGTCTAGTTGTTTATGCACACGTGTTCTTGACTGACGGGGAAGCTTCATGTTCAATACGCAATTATTGCGCTATGACAGCAAAAGTGTCAATCAAGTGATTGCGTGTTTAGTGGCAAAATAACCAAGATTATTTGTTTTGATGATGACCCAAAGAATCGTCACTATAGGTAACACTTACCACCTTGGTAATGAGAACCAACCCTGTGCATAAGAGTAATCTTTATTAAATTTACACAGTGCACGCTACAACTTCATATTGCCGCCTCCGCCGCAGAAGCATCTGTCGCATGTGGGAGGTAAAAAGCCGCCATTACCACTACTCTTTATGAACAACATGGCCTTTCCCATCGTCTTATGGTAAAGGTTTAAACATAATTACAACTTCAACCTGCTTTGTTTTGTGGGCAGTCAGTACATTTTCGCATTTCACGCTTGTCATTATTTTAAAAAAATGGAAGAAAATATGGGTGTACTTACATGATGTACTACAGAAATTGACGCAGAAGAAAAAATGTCAAATTGGGAAAATTGATTTTATCAGGTGGGGCCATGTTGTTTTTTAATATCAGAAACTCTACAGACCTGGTGCTATTGTACAGTAGCCTCTCTCACCTAGTTAGTCAAGATTTAAAAAGTTTGGTTGATCGAAGATAAAATCATGCCTTGAGCAAAGTTGATACCATTATCATTATCATTATTATTATTATTATTATTATTATTATTCCGGTTCGAGTATATTTTTACAATGGCTATATGAGCTAACGATAAAACTACCAAAACAGTTTACAAACAGATTTTCACAATGGTTGCTTTCAAAACATTATCATTATTATGGTATATAATCAGTTTCGATATTATTAACAGGGTAGTGATTGGTTTATTTGCTAGTGCTACTGAACAGAAATGTGTAATATAATGTTCGATATCCTGTATCCTTTTTTAAGTCAAGTGATTGCAGAAGATGCTTGAATTGGTCGCTTGGAGTTTTGCAGCGTTTAGTTACAAAAGTTCCTTTTTGTGTATGGGACATATCACAAAATTTAAAAATTCTTATAACTTCTTCGGAGCATAGTTTACGAAATCTTTATTCAGGGAGCACAGATTTAAGTTTTTGAAAACTGCTTCTTCGGAATTTAAAAAAGTGCGACCCTATTCTGATTTTTGCTAGATTTTTTCGTTGCATTTTGGTATTTGCGCTGTCGTGTGTGTTTCACTTTCATAATATGTTTTGAATGATTTGTATGTAATGAGTTTGCTTTTTTTTCTCCCTCATTTTTTTTTTTTTACTATATATTATAATGACTTGCAAATGCCTTCTTGAGATCTGTTTTTATGGGCGTATTATCCAGTGTTCGTATTAAATTTTCAGTAATATCTTTCACTCTGTTTGGTTAATTTATGTCTTTCTTCACTTTATTTTATATGCTATTTTTAGTGAAGGTTGGCCTTATATCACTGAGAATCTTCGCCAATAGGATTGTTGCATGACCAATTATGCGAATGTAATTGGGCATCTGCGTAATTCCACCTGGCAGCTGTGTAGTTTAGGAGAGGCAATAATTACATCTTTCAGGACAAATATCTCACAATTATTTTGTGCAAGACCTAAAGCGGATATTTTCACCCAAAAACTGTTAATTAACAAGAACATTTGTATTTTGTAATGCGCTTATGAAAGCTAATAAGCTGTCTGATCTGCACGTATTAGCTAAACGCCAATCTTTGTTTTAGCTATAATGAATTTCTCGCCTGTCTTCTAATTGGTGTTATTTCAACAATCAGTATGTGGAAAGCCAAATTAGAAAGTTCTGAATACTTGTTTTGTTGTTGTTATTCCTCAATTGTTTTTCTTATTAATTATGAATTAATAACAGCCACAGTTCTTAAGAAGTTGAAAAATTCCTTCTGAATAAACTTTGTTCATAGACTACACGTATATATATATATATATATATATATATATATATATATATATATATATATATATATATATGGTGTGTGTGTTACCCGTATTCGAAAATATATTTTAATGACTGAAATCGGCAAGTTAACCAAATATTTTTTCTTCAAGTTATTATGAAGTGCGTTGTTGGTGACGAGCTGAGGATCATAGTGAAATAGCGCGTTATCCATCGTCACCACTCTGAAGCTAAAAGAGGATTCGTACTCAGTCGCTGTGCTTCAAGTAATTCAAAAAATATTTGAAAGCCATTGCTTAGTGATACGACAGATACACGCAAGAGGCGAAGTCCTAACAAGGAAGATAGATTCCTCCACTTCAACTCTGCCAATGCATTCCTTTAGATCTCTCCGAAGCCCTATGTTTGCAAAAAGCGTCAAAAAAGATAAATCCGCTGTTTCCTTCACAGGCTTTTGTTTTTGAAATCATTTTACTGATGACTTAGTCATGACACAGAAGGCAGTCTCTTTCCACTTCAACGCTGTCGATTCATTTTAGAAACCCCTCAACCTAAGATACCTGGAGGAGCACCTAGGGAGAGAAACAGCGGGCGTATGTCCTTTCCACAGCTGCTTACATAATCCTAATATAAATAAATAAATAAGAATCTAAAAAAGCCGCTTTCGGTGTTTGTAAAGAATATGCATAATTAATATAACAATATGAGGGATGAAGGATGTCGGCCCAGGAGGGTATGTAACTACGTAATTGTAGGGTACAGGGGCCTATATGTTTATGTCTATTTCACTAGTTCAATATGATAATAATGAAATATTTTGAACCGCTAGGTATGATTTTTTTATTCATTGGTTTACTTAGGCCTATTTGGCGATCACGTTTGCATAACGCGAGTTGAAGTAACAAAATACAAGGAATTTTTTCCAAACATTTGCTCTACACACACGTAGGCCTACGTGTACATTGCATTACAGTAAATACCATATGTATATACTATACTATGTATATCTAATACTATGTATATCTTTTACCTATGCTTAACGTTTGTCGAGCAAAAACATCTTCTTACCCCCCCCCCCACCAAACCCAACCTGCCCCCCCCCCCCCTCCCCCCCACCCCCAGCCACTGGCTTCAGCGTTTGGTTCGAAACAGTCTTGCTTCCACTGTTGAACGTCGTGCTGATTTGACTTGTCCTGTCAAGCACTTTGTGTACAATTTGTTCACCAATTAACGGCACGCAACATATATACCGGTATGACTTCGAATGAACGTGGTTAGGAAAATAAAAAGATTAGCCCAATTAATATAATCATCAACAGCAGAGTTTTAAAATCAAAGAAGTCAAACCTTGCGGGTATATAAGTTCACACGATTTGATGAGTTTACAACTAAAATTTAAAAAATCATTTTTTAATTGTCAGTGGGATTTTTCACGTTAATTTTTCAAACCTTCAGGATTTGTAGCATATTGACAATAAACACGATCCTTATGAAAATCAATAGGGTTCATCCCAGATCTATTAGTAATATACACAAAAATTTTCAAGCAAATATCACGCCAACAGTAATTTACTTGAAACAAACGCACACAAGAACAGAGCAATAGACTTGTAATTTTTTATTTTATTATTATTGTTATTATTATTATTATTTTATTTTTTGTTTATTATTATTATTATTATTATTATTATTATTATTATTATTATTATTATTATGCAAGTAATAAAATTGTAAGCACCTCACAACTTTGATTTGTCCTGAAGTTATTTGATCATAATGATCGATATAAAATGTACTACCAGGTAGTACCAGTACGCATATGCACGTAAATGAAAACAAATTAGGCCTGCGCTTTTATCGATCTGGCGTTTGGGACATTTACTAATTATTATTAATTCAATTAACCAATGCGCCGAAGCTTTTCCGCCTGTCCAGAAACTGCCAGACTCTGGCATTGTTTTATCAAAATTGCTTTTTAAATTATGTAATCACGGAATAGCTAACAAAATTCCTCTACTTTGGATTTCGCAATTTGCTTTCATATACCTGTATCTTAGCGTTCAGGAGTATTGGACTCTTTCATACTAGATTATAGCAAGACGCGATTCTTTGTTAAAAGTGATATAGCGTATAACCGCTAAGTTAGGCGCACATATGTTTCACGCACAATGCTGATTTTTAGCCAGGTGCCTTTGTTGCGTCATATGCATGTAGTTCACATCATTCATTAT